TATCATGCTATTTCTAGCATAGGATAATTATATGCATGCATGAATTGCTTGATTTCCTAGGCTAGGTGCTTTCCTATATTTTATTATAGTTATAGCACCGAGCTAGGTTGCGTGCACCGAATTCTGGCTTTTCGGTTGCCACCGAATTGCCTTCTACCGAATTCGGTAAGGATCCGTTCGGGACGCTACGCGGCCCGCGGAACCTTCGCGTAACACCTGGTTACGGGGCCTTGTGTTGAGCCTATATATAGCCTCGTGTTGTACCCAGGTGATAATGGAATTACAATTCTCTTTTCTGAGCTCGATCCTAGATCCTCACAACAGAACAAAGCACATTGCTCTCCGCTACTTCCTTGCTCGTGAGCTACAGCAGCGTGGTCAGTTGCGGCTTGCGTACGTGGCCTCTGAGGCCAACACTGCTGATGTCTTCACCAAGGCACTTGCGCCTTGTGATCATCAGCGCTTCTGCACCCAGCTGGGTCTTGTACCTGTCTTGCCTCACTTGCTCACCTCTTGACCTTGCCTGTACTGTTACATATATATATACCTGTTCTTGTTTGTCTAGCCTTATATATATATGTACTCATGCATGTGAACTGGCCTTGTGGCCTTGAACTTGTGCTCAGAATGTGTGGTGACTTTGTGATCCACCCTGAACTTGCTTTGCTTTGCTTTACTTGACTGGTCTTGTGACCCCTAGTTCTCCCCCACTTCGCCTATGGGGGTGTGTCAAACATTATATACATTGTGCTTGTTTAGGCTACAGTGGGTTAGCCTATAGGGGGTACACAATTCTAGGGTTAGGTACTTGTACTCATTTCACTGTTAGTTCACTCATTCCTGTTCATTCATTTCAACAAACAAATGTGATACTGCAGATGTCGAAAGTCCTAATTGCAGAAGGACTCGGCTTCAACTTATTGAGTGTGAGCCAGTTGATGGCGAAGGGGATCCACCTTGAAGCAGATAGCACCACACAGGAATTCAAGCTTTACCACGGGAGAGGCGGCCTTTACATCGGTAAAGCTGTGCTGAAGAACAACGTCTTCGTCCTCGACTTCGTCCCAGACCTCGGGACCGCGGACAGCGACGGGATTGTCACTTTCACCTCCTTGACGCACCCTCCGGATCTCGACCCGACTTCAGCCCCGAAGGTTTCTGGTACTCACATACCATCCCTGAAGCGGAACGAACAAGATCATTAGTGACAATTCAACATTCAGGAGCAGCAGAGACAACATCAGCAATAGCAAAAACAACATCGGCAGCAGCAGAGACAGCATCAGCAGCAGCAGAGACAACATCGGCAGCAGCAGAGACAACGTCGGCAGCAGCAGAGACAACGTCGGCAGCAGCACAGACAACGTCGGCAGCAGCACAGACAACGTCGGCAGCAGCAGAGACAACGATAGTAGCAGCAGCAACATCGACACCACTCGCTGGTCCTTCAATGGTACCAGTCCTCGCCGACGTTTCGCCACCGACACTCACACAGCAGTTGAATCCGACTCCACGAGAAGTCCACAGAAGCGCCAACTTCACCGTCGGCTTCTACTCCAACTCCGACACGTATCGCCGTTCACCTGGACACCGTGCCCCCGAAGACATTTGGCACGCACGCATGGGACACCCAAGCAACACAGTGTTAAATAATACAACCAGAGCAGGGGTACTCGACAAAGACTCATTACTCCTACTTGATGGCAGAGAACTTCAACGAGCAAGGGGAACGTGCCTTACCTACCCTGAAGCCGACTTACCACACCGGCCGTTCGCTTCTCACCATAACCCGAGCGCACCTGCTTACGCACCACTTGAAAAGGTGTACAGCGACATCCTGTACAACCCGGAACCAGGACAAGGAGCATACAATTTCACGATCACCTTCATTGATGCCGCCACCCGCTACGTCTGGCACCTTAATCTTCCAAGCCGCGACATGGCCTTCGAAGCCTTCGTTGCCTGGCTACCAGTAGCAGAAAGAGAATCAGGAGTGAAGCTAAAAAGCTTCCAGTCAGACGGAGGAGGAGAATACACTTCTCAGCGGTTCAAACAGTACCTGGCAGAAAGGGGAATCAAGCGGCTCATTTCCCTTCCCTACGCCCACCAACAGCAAGGCGTAGCAGAAAGAATGAACAGGACCCTGCAGAACAGCATGCCCAAGCTGTTACGTGGCATGCGGCTACCCAACCACCAGTGGCCCGAAGCAATGGACCACGCCGTCATGCTGCACAACTTGCTCTCATCAACATCGCTACCAAACAACGCATCACCGCATCTACTGTGGACAGGGAAACAGGGCAGCACAAAAATGTTACGAGTTTTTGGATGCATGGTACAGTACCAACCCCCAGCAGCACGAGCGGGCCGATTTTCCCAACGAGCACAATGCGGGTTACACCTGGGCATCGAAAAGAATTACAACGCGTGGAAAATCTTCGACATCCACTCCAAGGAAACAGTAGCGGCACGTGATGTGATTTTCTACGAACGACTGACGCTCCAGACATACCTTGCCAACCTGCAAGAGGACCAAGATCCCACAGGTGGTTTTCGTGGTGACCGAGCCTTCGCCTCGGCAGCCGACGAAGCTGACTGGGACGAACAGAATGTGGACAGCGCATCGGAAGAAGCCGGACCTCTTCCTTACTGCTCTGTTGATGTTCCCATGGACGACGACAACCCTCGCGAAAGTGTCAACGCCGAAACTTACTACTATTTTGCCGACAACGGTTACGCAACACCTGCGACATTCAACACCAACGAAGCAGAACGCGTAGGACCGAACTTCATACCTGACCCAGAAGCGGGAGAAGAAGCAGCTTATCCCGAGGACGCAAATCTCCCCCGCTACACACAAAGTGGACTTCAAATTCTTGGCCTCGTCACCGCAGTCCACGGCATGACAATTCCTACGGAGCCTTTGACGGTTCAGCAGGCTCCGGGGGGGGGAACATAGGGGAAAATGGCGTGAAGCCATGGACAGGGAGTTAAAGGCGCTGGAGGAACGGAACACCTGGAAGGTCGTTCCCATCAGCGTGGCACGAAACAAGACCATCCTCACCGGAAAATGGGTCTTGCGTGTGAAAACGAAAGCAGACGGTACAATTGAAAAAATCAAAGCACGCTGGGTCGTACGTGGATTCGATCAAGAGCACGGACGGGACTTCACCGAGACATTCGCTCCGGTCAGCCGACATACCTCACTTTGAATCCTCCTCGCGATCGCCGCCATGAAGAAAAAGAAGCTGCGGCAAATCGATGTCGCCAATGCATTCCTCTACGCACCCGTTGACGCGGAAATCTTCGTCGAACTCCCACACGGTTCCAACGGAGAATCTAACCAGGTCTGTCAGTTACTGAAGTCTCTGTACGGCATCAAGCAGGCACCGAGACTGTGGCAGCAGTACCTACACGCGAGGCTCGTCCGCATCGGTTTTCGCCAACTACCGCACGACCAAGGAATGTATCGACTATCGAAGGGCAACGACTACATCCTGCTCATCGTCTACGTGGACAACCTACTCTACATCGCCTCGACCGACAACATCACCACCTGGTTCGAAGGGGAGTTAAAACGAGATCTCACACTCACGGTTTCAACTACCGTCACGCAGTACCTCGGCCTCAACATTCAAGAGGAAGAGAACGCGATCTACCTCAGTGCTTCGAAATACACGGACACCATCGCCAAACGCTTCAGATTCACCCCAACCGCCATCTCCACGCCATACGGCTACACTACTGGAAATCAGAAGGAAAGCTCCGCGCTACTCAAACCCGCCGGCATACGCGACTACCAGCGAAAACTGGGATGTCTACTCTTTGCAGCCGTCACCTGCCGACCGGATCTCTCCTACTCCGCAAGTCAACTCGCCACCTATCTTAAGAGACCCGAAGTAGAGCACTTGGCGGAGCTCGACCGCGCATTGCACTACCTCGTCAGTACTCCGACGATCGGATTAACCTACCATAAGACTGGAACTACGGCGCCAAAACTAATCGGCTACGTCGACGCCGATCACGCTGCTGATCCTGAGAACAAGCGCTCGCGCACTGGCTATATCTACCGACTCGAACCTATCGGGCCCATCTCCTGGCAGTCGAGCAAACAGGAACTAATCGCCCTCTCCTCAGCTGAAGCAGAATATATTGCACTCTGCTCAGCCACCAAGGAAGGACTCTACCTTCGCGAACTGATGGAAGAAGCAGAATTGGCTCAGTTACCCAATTTCTCTCTGTTCTGCGACAACCAATCTGCAATTCGCATCGCCAACAAAAACGGATTCGCGAACAGGACGAAGCATATCGCCCTGCGATACTTCTTCGTGAAAGACGAGATCGAGAAGGGGAGACTCGAGCTGTCCTACTATCCCACGTCTGAGATGGCAGCTGATTACTTGACCAAGAAACTCGGAAAGCAGAAATTCGAGTACTGCATGTTGCTGACTGGACAAGGCCACGTCACCAGCAACGACACTCCAGAAGCGAAGGGGAGTGTTGGGAACAAGTAATCTAATGCGCCTCTGTCGTGTCGAAAACACTAAGCCGTAAAACGAGACGAAGCACAACGAAGCGTCGGCGAGTCAACCCTCGGAAGTTGAAGCAGCTGGAGGTTACGCGAAAGTCAAAGGTCAGCGACCTTTGACCTGACAAAATATAGTGCGACAGCAAGGACACACAACTGACTCGCTATTGAGCAGTTGCCCGAGTCGTCACTGTATCGAACCGCAACAGCTGCAGGAGAACGGTTATTAACCGTATCTCTTCGTATTCCTTGTACTCATATATAAAACCTTGTACTTGCTTGTTTTTAGTAACTACTTTGCCCTCACATACTAGCGCAAGGTGTTCACAAATCCTTATTAAAAAAACGCTTCCGCTATTACATTATTCCTACCCTTGAATTTACCGTAGTCCTGGAAAAGATCCTAAGGGCATTTCAGCCCAACACCTACTAGTGCAAGTGCGCAGTGGAAAATAAAATTGACCCGAGAGAGTCAACAACACATTTCATTATTTCCCTTGCAGGATCCATCCCACCGCATCACCTCGCACTCCATCGCATCACACCCTGCTGCACCGCACAACACCACGGCAAACATAGGTACTACTTCCCTGCATGCATACCTCATTAGTGCACTGCACAGGCAGAAGTCGAGATCATATTGACTGCACTGCACTGCATAGCAGACATATTGATTGCTGTATTCATCGTACATCGAAACGGTTACAGGATGCAAACATAACATTTGCGAGCGACTCAATTTTGAATTTGCGTGTCTCGTGCCGGGGGCTGCAGCACCATTCGAGAGTGAAAAAGGCTAGAGTGAGCTTGTCGAAAGCATCCACTGTGTCTGCGTCAACGTGCCTGCAGGTAACCAGGTAACCAGGAGGAAGAAGCAAAGACAAGCTGAGTAAGGTACCGGTAGGGTAAGTTGAGAGTGCAAAAGAATCTGTTGGAATGAAACAGAATCCGAGTGAACTTGTCAAAAACCATCCATCCACTGTATCTGCGCCAATGTGCCTGCAGGTAACCAGGTAACAAGGTAACCAGGAGGAAGAGCGAATACAAAGCTGAGTAATGAGTCGAGTCGAGTAAACATGTCGAAATGCATCCATCCACTGTATCTGTGCTGAGTTGACCAACGTGCATGCAGGTAACCAAGGCAACGTGCCAGTCTGGAGGATCAAACACAAGCTCAGTATTGCATGCAGCTCAAACGAACGAATGAACGAGTGAGCGAATGAACGAACGTACGAACGTACGAACGAACGAACGAACGAACGAACGAACGAACGAACGAACGAACGAACGAACGAACGAACGAACGAACGAACGAACGAACGAACGAACGAACGAACGAACGAACGAACGAACGAATGAACGAACCACTGAATCTGCTGTCGCTCCCTCCCTTCATCCCTCCCTCCTTCTCAACTCCCAACATCCCTCCTTCCCTGCCCCTCCTCCTGCCCCCCTCCTCCCGTCTCCCCCTTCCTCTCCCTCACTCTCTCCCCCACTCTCACAAACAAGCCCTCGTTCTTCCTTGTCCTTCTTCGCCTCTCAATCCCCACATACTCCCCATAAACCCCTCCCACCCCCTTCTTTCCCTTCAACCCCAACCCCTCCCCCCCTCTTCCCCCCCCATTTATTTCTCTCTCACCGGCAGAAGGAGTGAGCAGCATCGGCCAGATGAAGCACTCTCACCGAGTCCAACCCTCCCAAACTCCTCTGCACCTCTCCATCCGTTGCATTGGCAGGTAAAAACACCCGCTCTTTCTCCCTGCCCTCGCTCCTGCTTCCCCTCTCCTCCTGCTCTCCTCCTATTCTCCTGCCCTCCTCCTTCCCCAATTCTCTCCTGTCATCCTGCACACTTCCCCTGTTCCTAAAATCTACCCTCCTGTTCCCGCCTTCTAGTGAATACCCTGGTACCGATTCTCCATGTTTCTGCACCCCTTCTCCCTCTGAACGGAGTAGCTGGTCCGAAGGAAGCTTCGCAAAAAGCTCCTCACCAGCTGCAGGAACGCGCGAGGAAGCCTCCTCACCCAAAACGGACCCGTACCGAACTCCCACGACAGCTTTTGACAGGCGAATCTCGTTGGGGACTTGCGGGAAAGAGAGGAAGGAAGCTGGGCGATAGACCATGGTAGTTGGATCCGACCCCCAAGCCATGGGATTTATGAAGAGGTCTATTGGGCAGGTGAATGGAGGGTCTATGTCTCCGCCAGGTGCCCTGCACGGCTCCCACAGGCTGTCCCACCACCTGCAGGAGAAAACAACAGAGAGGGTTTTGCATATGAGTAAATTTCAGGTGAAAACAACAGAGAAGAGATTCTTGATTTTATATGGCACATGGGAAAGAGGTGAGGTGAACCAAGAGAGAGGGGAGGGAGGAATAAGGGACGAGAAGTGGGGGACAGGAGTAGAGCAGATGGAAGAAAGGAAATAGGAGAGAGGCAAGAGAGACGTGAGGCAGGATGACTTTTGAGTCGACTCAAAAGAAGGAGAGAGGCAAGAGAGACGTGAGGCAGGATGAGGAAACAATTACGAAAAGGCAAACGACATGGGCTTTTAGGGTTGTTTGGATTGACTGACCAGTCGCAGTAGAAAGTAACATGAGGCAGGATGGTACAGAGGTGGTAGTGAGGCAGGATGAGGAAGAAGGAGAGGGACATGAGGCAGGACATGAGACAGAACATGAGGCAGAATCTTTAGTATGACTCACCGGTCGCAGTAGCAAGTGACGTGAGGCAGGATGAGGAAGCGGTTAAGTAGCCGAGCAATGGCGAGGGCTTTACGGGTTACAGCCTGGGGAAGGGGAATGGGAAAAGGGGAAGGGGAGCAGGAAGCGAAGGGGAAGAGGGAATGCGTGGGGGGGAGGGTGGGGGTGAGGGATGAGAAAGGACGAGAGAGGGGTGAGAAAGAAGTAAAGAGAAGGGAGAGCGGTAGAGGTGAGAGCGGTAGAGGTGAGAGCGGTAGAGGTGAGAGCGGTAGAGGTGAGAGCAGTACAGGTGAGAGCGACTCACATAAGCGTACTTGATGGTATCGTTCTGCAGGCATCACGGAGGGAAGGGGGGGGGAAATAGGAAGCTGCCTTCCTTAGCAATTTTAGGTTCGAAATGGCGGTCAGCCCGGAAAAGGCTGACGTGGCCGTCATTTCCCTTCCGAACCTAATCGAAGGGAAATGCTTGCAGGACATTCAATTCCCTCCAGGGAAATGCACCCCCAGGAAGGTTCGTTTTTCCCCTCACCACCTTCCTCCTCGGGCAAATTTATTTGCCTCCGCCCTGCCATTGGGCACCCACCCTTCACGGGGAAGTGCGAAGGTGACGGGAGGAAGGAGCTGGGAGTGGGAACACCAGTATTCCACCCAAGAAACAAGCTTCCCTGTACAGCCACTAACCCAAACAGGGTTGCAAATCTCAAATCAAAAAAGAAAAACACACACCAACCACCAAAGTGAAAACCCTGGCGGCCTGCTCACCACTCCTGTATGTTGGTGTTTTTTTATGTTGAAAACGCCCAGCCCCAAATAATTACCCTGTTCCTCTATTCGATGGTCACGATTTACCCCTCCATTGGGCGCAAGAAATTCCGCGAGAAGGTCGTCATTTTCCCTCGGAAACCACCTCCCCAAAATCCGAAATTTCCCATCTCGCATGTTTGCCCAAGGGGGGGAAATCGACCTTGGAACCCACCGCGGAACCCACCTTGGAACCCTCCTCATTTCCCTTCTCCCTCCCTCCTCCCCCAATCGTCAGGTGCCTACAGAACGATACCGATGGTTGCCTGTTGCCTGGTGCTTGTTTATGCCTGTGGGTTTTGAGTCGACTCAAATGTCATCATTTTGAAAGGACAAGGGCTTGCGAGTGCGACTCACATAAGCGTACTCGATGGTTGCCTGGTGCTTGTCTATGCCTGTGGGCATGGCCTCGATCCATACAGGAAGCTTCACGTCGAACGAGAGGAAGTTTCCTCGGGTGTAGAACCTGGGCAGAGAGATGGCAGGGGAAGGGAGAGCGGGTCGTTGGGAGTTGAGGAGGAAGCGGGAGAGAGCATGCATGATCAGGGCAGGGGGCGCGTTGGGTATGGGAGGCATGAGCGGAATCTGAACTAGACCTACCAGCCAACACCTAGTAGGGGAGGCATGGCATGAGCATGGGGGCATGTCCTGCACTGAGTAGGGCAATGGCAACAGGTCTACCTCCCATCCAACACCTCCCAAGAAACCCCATTGGTATTAGCACAGGAACGAGAGAGTGGAGAGAACAAAGGGACTCACTTGGGGGATCCCGACTTGAGCCCACAAGCCCGCCTCTCTAAACCAGCTGAACCGCCCCGTCCTGTAAGGAAACTGAAACGTGCTGTGCACTGAGTAGGGCGTGACTCCGAACCTAGCTCCCAGCCATATTGAAATGACTTTTGAGAATTCTCAAAAGTGATCCCCATATATACGTTTGGGAACTCTCAAAAGCAACCCCATTTGTACCAGCACCGTTTATGGCCGAGAATGAAGGGAGAGAAGATGACTGACTCACTCTGGGGGATCTAAAGCCCGCAGACATCATGAAGCCTCCCTGAACCGCCCAATCTTCCCTGCCCGGTAGTGGAACTGGAACGTGCTGTGCACTGCGTGGGGGGTTGCGGTCACGGTCACTCCAAGCCTGCAACCTACCAGGCAGCCTCATTCGTACCAGTAAGGGAACGAGAGAGTAGGGAGAAGGGAAAATCCGACTCACTCGGGGGGGTCGAGAGCCCACAGCCCCGCTTCCCTGAACCGCCCGATCTTCCCGGCGCCATAGTGGAACTGGAACGTGCTGTGCACTGCGTAGGGGGTGACCCCGATCCGCCTGGGCATCTGCTGCTCGAAGAAGACGTGGCCGTTGCAGAAGAGAACGAGGGGCAGCAGCGCGAGCTTGAGGCGACGGGAGAAGGCCCAGAACACCCGGTTGCTGATGGGGCGACCCGTGGTGGGGGAGGAGACGACCTGGGGGGGGAGGGGAGGGGAGGGGGGAGGGGAGGAGGGGGAAGGGGAGAATATGGGGAGGGGGAGGAGGGGGAAGGGGAGGATATGGGGAGGGGGAGGATATGGGGAGGGGGAGGAGGGGGAAGGGGAGGATATGGGGAGGGGGAAGGGGAGGATATGGGGAGGGGGAGGAGGGGGAAGGGGAGGATATGGGGAGGGGGAGGAGGGGAAGGGGAGGATATGGGGAGGGGGGGGGAGTGGGCGAAGCAGGAGCATGGGAGATAGTGGAAGGAGACGGAGGAGAAGGTGGAAGTGCCTTGAGTTGATTTGAAGCAAAGAAGGCACAGCAGACCCGGTTGGTGTTGGGAGCTTGTGGTGGAGGAGGAGACAAGCTGGGGAGAGGGAAGGGAAGGAAGGGCGAATAGGGATGGAGAGGGGATGGGTGTGGGGTTTAGGGGAAGGAGGGGAGGGAGGGGAAGGGGGGAGGCGAGGGGATGAAGGAGGGGACCTGTGCACGGGGCAGAACTTGCATTGTGAGCATCTTAATCCCAGAGAAGCAGATCAACAGACGTCCCAAAACACCACACACCACACCACACCACACCACACCACACCACACCACACCACACCACACCACGCCACACCACGCCACGCCACGCCATACCATACCCCATCCCACCCTACTACACCTGTATGGGAAACACCTTATAACGGAGCAGCAGGTTGAATGCATGCTGGTCCCCCATATCTTCTCCCACCCCTCGCTGCAGCCCATGCCAAACCACACCCCACCCCACCCCACCCCACCCCACCCCACCTCACCTCACCGCACCAAACCGCACCCCACCACACCGCACCACACCGCACCTCACCTCACCTCACCCCACCCTACTACACCTGTATGGGAAACATCTTGTATCGGAGCAGCATATTGAACGCATGCTGGTCTCCCCATATCTTCTCCCACCCCTCGCTGCGCCCTCGAGTCCGCATGGCGTGGTGCCACGTCAACGCTAGCGCGACAGAATCGGGGGATGCCCGGAAGAAAAGAATCCCGGTGTTGAGTGCGTGCTCGTACGCGTTGCCGAAAATTTCGGTTGCCCGAGGAGTGGCGTTGCGAAACCAGCCCTGCGCGTCTGTACCGACCATCACACTGGGGTTGTGCTGCTGGCTGCGAGAGGGGTGGGGGTGGAGGAGGGGGGAAATGGGGAGCGTTGGAGGGGCAGAGCGTGGGGAGTGGCGTTTCAAAACCAGCCCTGCGCGTCCGTGCCGACCATCACACTGGGGTTGCGCTGCTGGTTGAGAGGGGGCGGGGGGGGAGAGGAGTTGGGGAAAGAGGGGAAGAGGGGAAGAGGGCGAGCTAAGGGGAGAAGTCAAGAGGGCAGTGGGAAATGAGGGGGAGAGGTGTGGAGGTGGCAGGGAAGGAGAGAATAAGGTGGCAGGGAAGGAGAGAATAAGGTGGCAGGGGGGGAAAGTATTAGAGAGGGTGGAGGCCGCACACAAAGGGTGCACAGAGCATAGAGCGTGGGGAGTAGCATTGCAAGACCAGTAGGGTGGCATTACTCGTGAATGGTAAGGCAAAAATCAGTGACGCTCATTAGTGTATGTGAAGCTGCATGCCATGCACACCACACCACACCGAACCGCACCGCACCGTACCGTACCTCGCCACGTCATTGCTGTGCGAGAGCGAATCGGACGTCACGAACACGTCAGCATGCGCCACGTCAGCATTCTCGTAAAAGTACGCGTGGGGATCTCTCAACCAAACCACGTCAGTGTCACTTAGTAGCACGTCCCACCCAGCTTCTAATACTGCCAAGACAAAAGCCGTCTTTAACATGCCCATGCCCTGAAAAGCCGTGGCGTTGCTCCGGAAGTTTCCTGGAGGGAGCACCCCGTGCAGGCGGATGGATGGGATGTGGTGATGTTGGGTTAACTGCGGTTTTGGGAGAGAGAGAGAGAGGGGGAGGGGGGAAGTCGGGGGAAGGGAAGGAAACGCGAAGGGGGAACGGGTAGAGGGAAGGGGGCAAGGAGGCAGAAGGGGGGAGATGGAAGGAGAAGAGGACAGGGTTATGCTGTGTTAGAAAGGTAAGGCCTTACAAACCCTAAAGTGCATCCCACATCCCCAAACCCAATAATCAGATCTATAAAACCCAGTACCTCATTTACTGTCTGACTGACTCAATGGATACTGGAAACCGCCTATCACTACCCCTTTTCCCCTCACCCCGCCTCCGCGCCTTCCCCCTCACTCCCTCCGCGCCTTCCCTTCCCTCCCCTCACTCCGCGCCCCTTTTCCCCATAAGCAAACCGTTCGTTATCAGCGGATCAATCAAATCTGCTCAAATTTCCTCTCTATCTCCCAACCCTCTTCCCCCCTTTCACCAGACCTCCTAAACTTGACGACCGAGATCCGATATCTCAGTCAGCTGTGGCCCTAATCCAACGGTTGAGGTTGAGTAAAAAAACACACGAAGCCTCCCCAGACGTTTCCTGAAACCCTATCGCCCCCTCCTTCCCCCCTCCTCTCCCCTCCCCACTCCCCTCCCCATTCCCCCTTCCCCCGCACATCCCGTCAACGGCCTCTCTCCTCTTCCCACCCAGACGTTAACGAGAGATGAGAACGAGAGGTGTGACAGGCAGACGTCGAGGAGGGACGTCAATTCGAGACGTAGACGAGAGACGTCAATTTGAGACGTGAGACGTCAGAACGAGACGTAGACGAGAAAGGGGTATAGCGGGAGGCGAAAGCGAGGTCCGTCAGAGAGACCTAAACAAGCGTGAAGAGAGAGGTACCGAGGGATAAAAGACGAGGGCGGCAAATTGAGGCGCAAACCAGTCAATTCCAAAAACCCAGGAAATCGCGACGCGTCTAGCGTGAACAAAAAAAATCAGACGTGACGTAAAAAAAAATAAGCGCGGAGATGCGCGAGTTGCACTGACTTTGGGTGTAGCAAAACCGTACGCGTTAAAGGGACACCTACGTTCATGGTATGGTCGTCCAGCGCACCGACCAGCACGTTCTGTATCCCGCACCGTCGCATGTGCTCCCACCAATTGAGCAACATATCCTCGAACGCGACGTTCGCGATCGTCGCGCACACGCTGCGACCTTTCGTCATCGTCGCCAGCGCTCGCTGCAGCTCGTGCGATTGCACCATGCGATGGCGCGCCTCCGGATCCAGTTCCGGCGACCCCGCCGGAACCGTCGCCGCCGCCGCTGCAGGCGACGCCGACGAGGATATTGACGATGGCGACGCGGACGTGGACACAGACGGCGCTGACGTGGAATTGCCACGCATCGACGATTCGCCGCCGCTTTCGCGCTGTCCACTCAGCGCCGTCGTCGTCGCACTCCCTTGTAACCCTTCGCGAGAAGGTACACCGCCGCCCTGATTCCCGGCGCTCGACGAGGAGCCAGTGTCGCCGCCATTCGCAGGCGGCGGTAGCGACGTTAGCGAAAATAACGACGACGACGACGAAGACGATGGCGACGATGACGGAGGCGGCGGCGGTGGCGGCGGCTGCGGAAGCGAGCGGCGCCGCCGGTCGAGCTGTCGCCGCGCGGCGGCGGCGGAAGCACCAGTGAGCAGGGCCGCCGCTGCGCCGCGGTGGCGGGAGAGCGTCGACAGCGTAGCGAGGCCGTCTAAAAGGAGGACGTGAGCGGAGAGAGAGCCGAGGAGGAACCCGGTGAGGAGGAGGAGGAGGAGGATCAAGCGTTGGTTGACGGTTAGAGGGGGGCGATGTAGCGATGATGATGGTGGTGATGGTGGTGCTTGTGACTGTATCGATTGTGACAATAACGAGGATTTTTTTGGCAATTGTGGATGGGCTTTGCACGAGGGGTGATGGAAGGTATGATGGAGCTGATGCGATGACGCCGCCAGCGACGGTTGCGACGGCTGCGATGGATGATGCGACGGCTGCGAGTGTTTTCGGCGATTGCTCGCCGCGGATTCGCATGCTGCTGCAGAGCAAGTACCACATGCGAGCATGGCGACGGATGCGACTGTAATGTGACTCGTGTCACTCGCCGCGGGGTCGAACAACGCGCGAGAGCGGCGACAATTTTATTCTCCAAAACGAAAAAGGAGCCAAGGATAATAGACGATACTATATTATGTGAAAAATAATCGTAAGGAATCAGACACATCCGCCGTACGCGACGGTGGTCCGCCTTCCCGCTTGCGAGATTTGCGATTTGTGCTACCTACAGATCCGAACGACCTTCACAGCTGAGAAAGTGCATAATGGTACAACCCGCCACGGGTAAAACCCTGCGATTCGATCTGTACTACGCAAGATTTAAAGACGAATCCCAGCAATCACGTGAAATTCGGCGAAGCAGTCTGGTCGAGTCATCTTTGCTGGCGTGTAAGCTCGAAGCCATTGGTTTCTCGAGACTTCTGCGAGTTGAGTTTTGCCTTTTCGTTGTGCGATGATAGCGAGCTGGTTCACTGAATTTCATGCGGTTTAATAGGGTTTTCCCAGGGTAAGAGAAGGTACTCAGCCATTATAGCATTGAAACGCATGACACCGAAAAAAACCACACCATCGAGTGATGCCCCGCCTGTTCGGTGGCTAGTAGTTCAGTGCGGTTAAGAAAGTGTTTAACACGATAATAAGAATTATTGCGAGACACCGCTTTGGAACGTATCCCACCGAACAGCCACCATGGAGTGTTTTCCCCAGAAGAACCCAAACGCCTCGGGGATATGCCAGCCAATAATAAAACGAGACTGCCATTCCTCGCTGGTGGAGAAGCTTTCGAGAGAGAAAGTCACGGCCCACGTCACCAGCACGAGTCGCAGCAAACCTGGCGACGGCAGTGGAGCAGCTTGTCGTAACCCTGGACACCAGAGGTTGTTACTGTGTATGGGTTGTGACGTGCAGTTTGGCGGGGTTGAGATAAGAGACGGGCAGCCGACGGTTGAGTTCTGATATTGATCTGAGGAACTCGGCTGGATGGATGATCGCCCGCGAAATAACTGCAGGAGAGGGAATGGAAGGCAGCCAGGTACAGAGCGGAGCCGTTTCAAGCCATTAAAAACACTCGAGACTACACTCGATATTTTAGGGGCCGGGCCGTTTCAAGCCATAAAAAACAGGGCGGGATACTTCTTCCTCCATAGCCACTTCGTTTAACAGCATGATTTTAGATGTGGAAGAAGACACTAAGCTCAAGGTCTTTCCTAACTCTAAAACAAATTTGACGAGTAGGGACATGGCAAGGCAGCACCCGGCCATTTACCGGGTGAGCAGATATATAACATGGTGTGGATCTTAATTTGAGTAGTCATTGAGCTGCTCTCGAAACAGCTCTCATTACGCCGGAGTGGATGGATTTAGGGTCTGCTGGTAGGGGCAGAAGGGGAGGAGGAGAGTGGGGGTCGGGGAAGTAGTCCCGCTAGCTTCTAAGCGAGCAAAATACTTTCTGCCAGGGAATCTGAGGGTTTCCTTATCAATATCTTTTGACTACATAATACAGATGCTCCGGGTTAGAGGCCCTCGCTGAAAGAGCCCCTTTTCCCCCTTGTGTAGAGTTTTCCGATATCGCCTAGGGTTGGCCCGACCCCTATAGTCCTTTTTTTGGCGGGAAATTTTGCAGCATGACCGAATCATTGCACGAATCAGCTCTGCAGCCAATCAGATGCTCCAGATCGAACCAGCCCCAACATTCAGGGAAAATGAAAGAAGGGATTATTGATTTGATATTTAACTTTGGAATTGTAAGTAATTGTTTCTCTTGAGCGTGATTAATTCTCAATCCTGTTGCGCGGTCTCCAGCTCGCGCGACGATGACATCTCCTTTACCTCGCTTACAAGGTAAACGAGACTTTTTACCTTCTATTCGACCCCCAAACAATAATTGATTTTGTTTTGTTTTGCCCCTCTGTCATGCGACATTGATCAGCGCGGGGAACCGAATCTACGTAAAAGACAAAATCCAAAGACTAGTAGCCAAAAAACCACTCTTCATGCAATTTTCCTGATTGGGACTGTAAGTATCGCGTTCTGCCCGGGGTTTGAAGGGTTTCGCACATAGTCCGTGCGCGGCGTCTCAGTCCGTCGGACTATAAACGAGAACACTTGTAAGCATATATCGATATGACCCTGAAAGGCGCGGGAACAAGGGGGGTTCAGCCTGGCTGACAGCCCTTGATTTGTCGAACGAGCATGCAGAGCAGGTCTGACGAAAGGTATCCAGGCTCCAGATCTGCCAAACGCAAGAAGCCAGCGACAAATCGCAGCCGAGAGACCACCCATCTATAAATATATCGAATCATTGAACGAATCATCTGATCATCGGGTAACTGAGAAACCAGGATCATGTACAGTCTTTCTAGAAGCAATACAGTACATTGCGATGACAGCGGACCACCCCACGCCATCGCCTCGCCCATAACCCGCCTGTGGTGGTTGGATCTGCGGACTTCGTCAAACGCCACGGACAGGCACCTGGGTAGCTGACAATCTCGCCCACTAGAAGCGAAAGTCGCAAGTCAAATTCGTCCACTGGGCTTTTCACACAAAGCTGGATTTGCCATCATGGTCAA